ACACATAGACAAACACACACACATAATTCAAACAAAACAAATAGAAACATACTTACATGTGCACATACAACACAAACGGACACACACACACACACACACACACATTATGCAAATGCTGTAATCTGTATGTAATATGATTGTCCGCTTCAGGAGGAGGAGCAGTTCTTGATTGTCCTGGATGAAGCAGACGTCCCAGAAACACCAGCAAACACACTCCGTGACCTCCGACACTCAGAGGTCAAAGGTCAAGACGAGGTTGTCAGTGAGGTTCACCTGGAGGACGCGACTTCAGAGAAACAGATCCAGCAGGGCACACAAAACAGGTGGAAGATGACGAGAAAAGGACAATTATTATACACTCGTAACTTATTGTTAAACTTTTCAGACCGTAGCAGAGTCGATGGTAACTGAGTTGACGTAGCAGAGTCGATGGTACTGCCACTCTATCTCTGCTACCGTCGATAGTGCTGTCGTCGACTCTGCTGCCATCTGCTCTGCCACCCTCAACTCTGTTACCTTTGACTCTGCTACCGTCGACCCTGCTGCTATCTGCCACCATCAACTCTACCATCGACTGTGCTGCCATCAACTCTTCTACTCTCGACTCTGCTACATCGACTCTGCTACCGTCGACACTGCTGCATTTACCCTGTTACTGTCGACTCTGCTACCCTTAACTCTGCTACCGTCGACACTGCTACCGTCGACACTGCTGCGTTGACCCTGTTACTGTCGACTCTGCTACCCTTGACTCTGCTATCGACGACTCTGCTACCCTTGACTCTGCTATCGACGACTCTGCTACCCTTGACTCTGCTATCGTCGACTCTGCTACCCTTGACTCTGCTATCGACGACTCTGCTACCCTTGACTCTGCTTCGTAGACTGTTTCTGTCAACTCTGTTACCATCGACCCCACTGCCACTGACCCTACTACCATCGACTCTGCTACCCTTGACTCTGCTACCCTTGACTCTGCTTCGTAGACTCTGTTACCGTCGACTCTGCTACCAACACTTCTGCTACCGTCGACTCCGCTCTTGTCAACTCTGTTACCGTCGACTCTGCTTTATAGACTCTGCTACCCTTGACTCTGCTACCCTTGACTCTGCTTCGTAGACTCTGCTACCGTCGACTATGCTAACGCTGACTCTGCTATCGCTGACTCTGCTACAGTCAACACGCTACCGTTGACTCTTCCTTTATGCTACAACAGCCATGTTTTTTTTGTCTTTTTTTAATATTTATAAAAAATTTATATCTATATATATATATATATATATATATATATATATATATATATATATATATATATATATATATATATATATATATAT